ATCCCAGCTACTTGAGAGGCCAAGCAAAAGGATCCAAAGTTCAGGGTCAGCCCAGGCAACTTAGTGAGGACTCCCGCCCCACCCCCCCGCCCCACCCCCACCCCCACCCCCACCCCCGCTGCCAACAAAGAGCTCAGTGGTGTTGTGCTTCCGTGTTATGCACTAAGGCCTTAGATTCAATCCCCAACCCCCAGTACTTCCATTAAAAGAAGTATAAATAATTTAAGGGAATAAACAGGAAATAAAACATGTTCTTAATTTTTCGGCATTTACATATACATACTTCATAGTGGTCTAGAAAGACTTACTCAAATTTGGTGTTTACTCAGAGTCCTCAGGGCTCTGTCCAGATGTGGTGATGTGGGGAAAGTAGCTTTCAAACTAGGACTGCCTCTCTTCCCACTGCGGATGCCATTTTGGTCTGTAAGGGACTATGTTGGTGCAAACATCCATCTCCGTCCACAGCCTCCAGAAAGCCACCCTTTCGACTCAGGGACATGTGTGTTAGTAGTGAGGGCCAGCCATGGAAGAGAAAACCCAGGAAAAAAGTCTATGTGAGCCCTAGAAGCAGGTGTGAGCTCTTTGGGCAGGAAATTTCTGGATACTTGGAGTGTGATTCTGAGGAACCAGGGATCTGGACCAGAGAAAGATTGGATGTTTCACACCATAGGGTGGGTTCAGTCATAAAAGACCAGCATGGGACCGGGCGGTGGTGGCGCACACCTTTAATCCCAGCACTCGGGAGGCAGAGCCAGGTGGATCTCTGTGAGTTCGAGGCCAACCTGGTCTACAGAGCGAGATCCAGGAAAGGCACAAAGCTACACAGAGAAACCCTGTCTCGGAAAAAAAAAAAAAAAGATCAGCATGGACCTTTCAAATCAGAGGGCACAGGTCAGAAGTCGCTCTTGCCTGGTTCTAAAGCAGTGGATCTCAACCTGTCGGTTGTGACCCCTCCAGGGATCAAAGGATCTTTTCACAGGGTTCGCCTAAGATCATCGGAAAACACAGGTATTTACATCACGATTCACAACAGTAGCAAAATTGCAGTTATGAAGTAGCAACGAAAATAATTGTATGGTTGGGGTCACCACAACCTGAGGAACTGTATTAAAGGGTCATGGCATTAGGAAGGTTGAGAACCACTGCTCTAGAGTCAGTAATGTGATTCCTGTTTCATCAGTCTATGAGCTCCATGAAGGGATGGCCAGCAGTAGTCTAAGTCACCGAGTGTCCTTTATGCCCAACACAACAACTGCTGTTCAGGAAATATTTGTCCATGTGTAGGGGGCATACCGGGGGAGCTTTGGGCTTATTGGGGGGGGGGAGGAGAGTAGAGGAGAATTAGAGGTGACGCCAGGAATGGCAGTGTGCATCACTGTATGCCAGCACCCCAGAGGGTGATGCAGGAGGATGTCACCTTGAGTAAGCCTGGGCTACATAGAAAAACCAGAATCAAAACTAGGAGTGAGAACTGGTCTTCCAGGATTCTAACATCGGTGTGCAGAACAGAGGAGGTGGGGGTGAGGGACATCCTAGAATGCTCTCTCTGTGTCATCCCTTCTCCTCTCCTTTTTTTTCTTTCTTTCCTCTCTTCCCCTCTCCTCTCCTTCTGTAGTTCAAGTTGGCCTTGAACTCATGATGCTCCCGTCTCAGCCTCCCCAGTTCTGGGTTTACAGGCATGTGAAACATAAATGTACCTCCATTTTTTAAAAATTTTTTTATTTTTTTTTTTACCGAGTGCTGGGGATTGAATGCACTCTACCAGGGAACACAGGTAGCTCCGTCTTTCTCATCCCTGCTCCCCTCTCCTCCCATGACCAGGAGTCTTTTAGTACCGTTATCTACTTCCTACCCTCCAAATCCTCCCTGTTGTGCTTGGGATGCGCTCTGCCTCCCGGGTCTCCACTAGTCAGCAGGATTCTTCTCTGAGCCTGGCCGTTGTCACCTCGTCACCTCGCAGCTCCTTTCCCCAGTGAGTGGCACCTGCTCTGAAGCCCTAGGGGCCAGCTTGCCTGAGCAGGCTTGGCCTGACGCCCTTCGCCCCGCCCCTCGGCAGCTTAGCCCCTCCCACCTCTTCTCTGAGTCCTCCAGTAAACAAGAGGATCAGGAGAGAGATGGCAGCTGCCTGGTGGGGGCAAGTGTCTGGTGAGGTCGGAGCAGGCGTGAAGAGGGGGCTGCACCCAGTGCTGCCAATCTTTTTTCCTTTAGGGAAATTCTAGGGTCTCTTTCCTGCTGTCCACTAAAGCCACGTTCCGCGGACACGTATGTGGGCCTCCTTGCTTTCAGCATCCCTATTCCCATTTCATGGCTGCATCCTGGCCTCCAACTTTCTGCAGCTTCTGAGAAAACAAGTCAACAGCTCCAGGTGAAGAGTCACATTTCCACCTGACTAGTGAGAACAGACTCTACACATGAATAGAGACCTAAGCATGGTGGGTGGGGGGAGTCATGAAGTGTGAGCTAGGTCCTCCGTGTGATGTGTGATTGGAGAAAGCTTGGGTTTCAAATGTCCTCCAAGGCTGGGCATGGTGGCACATGGTGTCACATGTCTTTATACCATGCACTAGGGAGACAGAGCCAGGCGGATCTCTATGAGTTCGAGGCCAGCCTGGTCTACAAAGTGAGTTCCAGGACAGTTCCAGGGCTGTTAACACAGAGAAACTCTGTCTGGAAAAACAAAAGTCCTCCAAAGGCATATGAGTTCAAAACTTGTCACTATTGGAAGGTGGTGAAAATTTCAAGAGGTGGGGGCCTTGTGGGAAGTCTTCTGGTCATTGGGTGTACCTGTGAGGAGAGCAGGGCCCTGCCCCTTCCTTTTCTTTTTTTGTGAGTAGCTTTGAGGTGTGTCCCTGTCAAGACAATTCGACTCACTACAGGCCATAAACGATGGGGCTGAGGACTCACAGGCTGGGGTCTCTAAGGCAGCAAAACAAACCTCTTTCTTTTTCTTATTCTTTTTTCCTCTGTGTCACCCTGGCTGTCCTGGAACCCGCTCTGTAGACCAGGCTGGCCTCGAACTCAGAAGAGATCCGTTTGCCTCTTCTGGGATCAAAGGCAAGTGCCCCCACCGCCCGGCACAAACCTCTTTCCAGTTAAAGCTGATTACTTCAGGTTACCTATTGGAGCAATTGCATTAGACAGTTTTTGGTTGTTGTGACAAAATGCCTGAGAAAATCAAAGGAGAGACTTCTTGGGGCTCACGTTTTAGGTTCAGTGGTGGTTCTACTGCTTTGGTCCAAAATCTAACACCATGGTGGGGCGTATATGGTGAAGCAAAGATAGCAGGAGAGAGAAAGAGGAGGCAGAGAGAAAGGGAGGGAGGGAGAGAGAGAGGGAGGGCCAGAGAGAGAAATACACGAATGAACTAAGGAGAAGATATGCCATTCACAGGCATATTTCTTCCAGTTAGGCCCCACCTCCAGACAGCCAATTCAGTGTGAACTCCTCACCTGATAAACTCATTGATAAGTTTAGCACTCTCATCCGATCACTTGTGAATTATGCCCTTATCTGGGAAACAAACCTTGAACGCATGAGCCTTTGGGGAGTATTTATATCCAAGCAGCGAGGGAAAACTAATGTAGTGTGGACACACACACACACACACACACACACACACACACACACACAGAGAAGATGGAAGATAAGATGGGCTGAATGCAGGCGCCTGTAGACCAGTGGTTCTCAAACTTTAGTGTGTCAGAATTGCTGGAAGGGCTTATTAAATCACCGATGCCTATATCCTACCTACAGAGTTTCTGATTCTGTGAGTTTGAGGTAAAGCCAGAGAATTTGTTTCTTCAAGTTCCCAAGAGATGCTGCTATTGCTGATCCGAGGACCACATTTTGGGAACCGTCGTCTGCATCTGCTAGCGCTTCGCTCACATCTAAGGCTGGGTGGGACTAGGTTAATTGTTACGACTGAGGACTCTTGGGGCTGACGGAGCCCAGACCTTCCTCTGCATCAGGAAAGAAGATCTGTTAACTAATGGTTCCTAGGTGTCCTCAGAAGGTGACGAATACTCTTTAACGTCTGGGGTTTATTCTAGTACAGACCCTGTTTAACAGCTTCAGGCAGGTTTAAACATCTCCTTGGTTAAGTCCTAGTATCCCGGCTCCAGCTCCTGCTGGGGGATGATAGCCCTAAGAGGTGTTAGGGGATTAGGCTGAAAATGTAGGTCACACCCCAGCCGTCTGGGAATCATGAGGAGTGAGGGAGGGAGGAGGAGAGAAGGATTGGCACTCTCAGGGAAAAGGTGAGAGGGATCGGAGGGCTCCTGAGGGCAACTACAAAAGCGTGCCCGATGAGTATGTTGTGATTAGATTTTAGCCTCTTTTGGTATCCTGAGGAAAGACCAGGAGTCTGGCCTCTCATTTTCTGTCCCTTCTCTCAAGCGGGGCTGCTTGTCTTGGGGTTGGGTTATTAAGAGTGAGATTCTTCGTGGAGAAAGTTGCTTATCTTTCTAATACAGTGACTCTGAGAGGTATCAGGCCAGCCAGGGTGAAGGTGAATCCGGGGCTGAAATGCTAGGATACTTGAAAAGAGGAAGCCGATCCAATCATCCAGATGAGAACGGGCTGGGAGAGCACATACATCCCACAGACGTAGATGGGCAGTGCAGAGTCTTAAAAGATGGGGTTTCTGGGAGTTCGTCTGAACTCTACCAAACCTAGGCTGAGTGACTGAGCTGAGGGCTGTGTTCACATGGAGGGTGGTGCTTGGGCCACCGTGACTCTTTGTATTGGAACCGAGCACATGTCAAAGTGTGGCCACCAGTAAGAAGCTGTCTTGGGGGAAAGATGCCCCTTTTTCTTTTTTGAGAACTGGTAGTACCTGTCCTTCACCGATCTCTGCATCCCTGCCCCAGGCCAATGAGATATGCAAATAAGCCCATTATCTCATTGGCTGAGGCTTGAGAACCACAGATGATCTCAGAGAACTAGCCCTTTAAGAGTGCCCTTTGGGCTCTGGACCTACAGCCCCCTTGTTCTGAATACAGGGACACCAGACCCTGCTCTATGGAGTCTCTAGTCTCTGGGAAAACCGTGCCTTTCGGGTTCTGACGCTGACTACGTCATCTCCGCCATTCCTAACGTGAGTATGTCTGGTGACCCACCTGGGTGCCAGGTCTGCCATGTAGAGCCCCTCCTCCGATCCCTGTAGTCTGTTCTCTGTCCTATCTTACGTACTCACTCTTCGGTGTCCTGTCTCATTCCTACTCTGGATTCTATCACATCAGAAAGATAAGCAACTTTCCCTGCTTAATGGTTTACCATCCCCCTCTCTCTGGACACCTCTCTCAGTGCCTCGCCATCTCCTTCTTGCCAAGGACTAGTTCCTTCTGGCACCCCTGTCCTCTCGGGCTTGCGTGGTTCTGCGGAGGACGGCTCTCCCCTGGAAAGGCAGAGAAGCCTTGTCTACTCCTCCACCTCTCTGGTCAGAGTGTGGAAGTCTGAGATGTGGCTGAAGAGGGACTCAAGAGGCAGCCAAAGTGCAGGAGCTGGGGGCTGAGACTCCCCCAACGTCCCGTCTGGGCCTGGGGGTGTGCCTGGTGGCATTGGACCGGAGCTGGGACTTCCAGACTGGGGAGTGTCAAGCTGTGCGGTGAACTAGCCGCAGGTGAACATGGGAGAGCTCCTTAGCGTTGTCAATTTGGTGCACCCCATTGAACGTATTTTTGTGCTTATGAATCTGCAAGAGATGGGGCTAAGAGGCAGCCTTCCCTAGATCATCTACATAGAAACCTCTCCTAGGGTATTTCTCAGAATTAGTGTTCCACAGAACACTCTTTGGGGAAGCTTTCAACTCCAATTGCCTGCAGTGAGCAGCAGGATCAGAAGGCGAAGGCAGTCTGCTCAAACTCACATGGCAGGTTCTAAATCCAAGAAGATCTGTCTTCATGGGTTCTCTTTGGAGAGATTGACCTTGAGGAGAGAGAGTGGCCGCTTGGTCCAGATCTTTCTAGAACCTTTTCCCCCATAGAAAGCCTCTTATAGAAGAAGAGATTTGTCTATTGACTAACCCATAGGACAAATGTGTGACTGCCACTATCCTGAAGGCTTTGAGAGATAAAGATAACAGCACAATGTTCTTCTACCCTAAAATTAACAACATAGTGTCTTTCCGCTGTCCTAACACACAGACATACATGCAGGGAGAGAGCCATATACACACATACACACATACACAGCCATACACACACACACACACACACACACACACACACACACACACACACACACAGAACCACTTATATACACACACACACAGCCACACACACAGAGCTACATACGCAATACACACATATACACACAGCCACATACACACACACAGAACTACATATACACATACACACACAGCCACACACACACACACACACACACACACAGATCTACATACACAATACACACAGCCACATACACACACACACAGAGAACTACATACACACACACACACACACACAGAACCACATATATATATATATACATATATATATATACACACACATACACACACACAGCCACACACACATATACATACAGTTAATCAAGCTCAAATTTTAATTGCTTGTAAATGGAATTGTGCCTCTGGAGATGACAGAGCTTCTCCAGCCATACACACACACACACACACACACACACACACACACACACACACACAGAACCACATATATACACACACACACACAGAGCTACACACACAATACACACATACACACACAGCCACACACACATACACACACACAGAACCACATATATACACACACACACACAGAGCTACATATACAATACACACATATACACACAGCCACATACACACACACACACACACACAGTTAATTAAGCTCAAATTTTAATTGCTTGTAAATGGAATTGTGCCTCTGGAGATGACAGAGCTTCTCCAGCCATATACACACAGACACACACACACACAGAACCACATATACCCATATACACACAGCCACATACGCACATACACACACATACAGTTAATTAAGCTCAAATTTTAATTGCCTGTAAATGGACTTGTGCCTCTGGAGATGACAGAGCTTCTCGGCATGTGCCAGCACTGGGGTTGGGAGCACTGCCATGGTGCTGTTGTTTTTCACGGATCCCAGAGGCACCGAAGGGGTGAGAGGCCGCTGTCCGTTTTGTCCTCCAGGCCTCCAGCTCCTTGTTGTCTGTCAGGAGCTGCCCGGCAGTGACTGTGCAGGGAAGAGGGCTGCATTGTTACTCTGGAGTCCCAGAGCTCCGGTGTCGGGGCACTTGGGTCTTGAGGGAAGGAGGTGTAGTGAGAGGGATGGCAGGCAGCCTCCCCAGTGTTTCAGGCCTTTCCTTTTTCTTGCAGGAACAGCTCTCTCAGCTCAGTCCAGAATGGCTCTTCCCCCGAGTCCCCTGGCTATGGAATACGTTAATGACTTTGATTTGATGAAGTTTGAAATAAAACGGGAACCCTCCGAGGGCCGACCTGGACTCCCCACAGCCTCACTGGGCTCCACACCTTACAGCTCAGTGCCCCCCTCACCCACCTTCAGTGAGCCAGGCATGGTGGGCAGCAGCGAGGGCCCCAGGCCAGGCCTGGAGGAGCTGTATTGGTTGGCCACCCTGCAGCAGCAGCTAGGGGCTGATGAGGTGCTGGGGCTAAGTCCTGACGAGGCTGTGGAGCTGCTACAGAATCAGGGCCCAGGCCCTGTAGAAGGGCCCCGTGGCTACTATTCAGGGAGCCCAGGAGAAACAGGAGTCCAGCATGCCCAGGTGAGTGACCCAGGTTGGTCTGAGGGGAGGAAGACCTGGGGAAGGTGACCAGCTCTTAAGAGAGGGAGAATTCCTGGAGAGGGTTGTGGACTGGAAAGAGACAGAGCTAGGTCCTTGAGAAAACTACATCGATTTTTCAAAATGGTAGGAAATAGTTGAATTATGGGGAACAGAGAGAAGACAAGGAGGAAGCCAAGAGCTGTGGTTCACGCCTTTAATCCCAGTACTCAGGAGGCAGACTCAGGCAGGTTTCTGTGAATTAGAAGCCTGCCTGGTCTAATTAGTGTGTTCCGGGCCAGCCACCGGCTACACAGCAAGACCCCGTCAAAAAACAAAACAAAAGATTAGAAGGGGCCTCAAAGGGAAAAGGGCTTAGAATTTAAGAGCGTTGTGGGGGATGAGCGATTATGTAGTAGCAAATAGATAAAGGATGTGTGGAACCCGGCTGGGTAAAGGCTGCGGTTGAAGTTGGCTTTTTCAAGGCTCCGTGTTTTCCCCAGCGCCTAACCTTCTCAGAAAGGATTGGGACTCATCCTATTAATTATAGACACAGATGGGGGTGTTGAGGGCATTACGATGTAATCCAAATCCTTGAGGGTCACTGGGTTGTGGTGTTCAGGACAGGGAAACGTGTGGTCTGTGGCAAGGGCAGGATCTGTCTGGGCGCGGGTCCCCTGGACATTGCGGACAGTTAAAGGGTACGCAGTGTCCAGAGGCACGATTGGTTCGCCAGAGCAGGGGGGCGGAGCTCACACTGCGACACTCCGGGAAGGACCACAAGGGTGTGTGTGTGTGTGTGTGTGTGTGTGTGTGTGTGTGTGTGTGTGTGTGTGTAGCCCTGGGGTCCAGGACGTGTCGGGACTCCTTGGGGTGGGGTCTGTAGGAAGAGCGAGCGTGCAGCAGGTGAAGGTGGGTTCCCAAGGACTCTCTGGCTGACGTGGGGACCCGGGTAGGACCCGCACCGATCTGGTCCCTGCATTCTTCCTCCGCAGCTGCCGGAGAGATTTTCGGACGCGGCGCTGGTCTCGATGTCTGTGCGCGAGCTGAACCGGCAACTGCGGGGCTGCGGGCGCGACGAGGCTCTGCGGCTGAAGCAGAGGCGCCGCACGCTCAAGAACCGCGGCTACGCGCAGGCCTGTCGCTCCAAGCGGCTGCAGCAGCGGCGCGGGCTGGAGGCCGAGCGCGCCCGCTTGGCCGCCCAGCTGGACGCACTGCGGGCCGAAGTGGCCCGCCTGGCTCGCGAGCGCGACCTCTACAAGGCCCGCTGTGACCGGCTGACCTCCAGCGGCCCCGGGTCCGACGACCACGCACACCTCTTCCTCTGAGCCTCTAGGGCAGGGGGTGTGGCGGTTTGGAGGTGTCTGGGTAGGTGGCACTCTAGACAGGAGAGTATGCCACTCACCAAATCGCTACCTGTGGTCCTGAGTGTCTATACAAATATCCCCAAACTTCTGACCCTCGTGGCATGCCTGAGGTTAGATGCTTGTCCTTTGCTGGAGATGAGTCCCCGTCCCTTTTGCAGGCCATGACTCCTCGTGATTAGGGCACTGAATTCTGCAGGGGCTAGGGCCTGTACCGAGGGTGGAGGTATGGAGGATGGGTGGGTGGCATGCTCAATAGGAGGAGAGGGAGGGGTGCAGCGCCGCCCTTCAGTCTAGTTCTTAATTCAAGGTTTTCAACGTGTAGTGCATTGATGCTGCAATTAACAGTGAAGCTGCATTTTCACTGAAATTTGGGACTCCCCATTTTAGGACTACTGAATTTTCAAGATTTCAGTTCCTCCAAAGAGAGTAGTAGGTTAACTCAAGATGCTTTTCCCTGCTCAACCCAGTGGCCTTTAGAGTCCAAAGCAGCAGAACAAACACTCTGGATGGGAGCCTGGAGACCTGGGCACTAGTCTCAAATGGTGTCACAGGCCATGTGTCTGTCATCTTAATCAAAGCAATTGCCATTGGATTCCAATGACTTCATCTAATTTTTATTTGGATTGGATGGCTTCTGACATTGTTTTCGTTTTGGCATCCACTACAGTGAGAAAGTCTAAACGGTCTAGACACCCAAGAGGCCCCAAGATGACTGACTGTACCCAAAGGACATCCTGTTCTGCCCCAGCCTCCAGGCTGTAGCCTAGGCGGTAGACACCACAGCATGGCATCTCCAGGAGCGCTCACTTGCGCTGGCCCTCTGTGGCTCCCTCTAGGCTGCCTTGGCCTTCAAACGGCAGAGGGTGCCCCTGCTGCTACCTCTTGCCACTCAGAGCTGAAGTGAGACCTCACAGGGTAACCAGAAGCTGAGAGAGTGTGTGAATTAAACCTGACGTCCAGGAAAAATTCAGATTATTGGTTAAACGTTCTTGCAATTTAAAATAGAGTTAATACTCTACCACTGCTTCAGGCTACTGTCTTGTGTGTCTGCTGTGAGAATGAAACCGATGAGAGAGGTGGAGGAGGGGGAGAGGTTTTTTTCCTGGGGGGGGGCATCTGCTGTAGCTCAGTGGTAGACTGTTTGCTTAATTTGTGCAGAGAGATGGACCCGTTATGGAGCGGAGCAGTGCACATCTCGGTTCTAGAGGGCCAATGAAGGTGGATTGGAGGGGGTGGGGAAGGGTCCAGATGGAGCCACCCTCTCCTCCACCACCACCACCACCACCACCACCACCACCACCACCACCACAACCAAAGCCCAGGAGCAGCAGTGGCCCTAGCTAGGCCTGTCTGTGGCTGTCCTCCAGGCCTCACCGTTGCCATGGCAACCCAGCCCTCCAGTTCAGCCACATATGGGGAGGGCCTTTGGGCAGAGCAGAGGCTTTGAGCTGGGAGTGTCCACCTCATCAGCCGCTGTCATCTGTCCTCCGAGGGCCGTAATAAACGGGAGAAGCAGTCCTGTGTGGGGGAAGCGGCTCCCATATGTCTTTCTTCCTTTCTGCCCCCGCTACCCACCCCCTGACCAGCTGTCTCTTCTCTTCCCATCGCATTTCTTGTTCCCTCTGTCCCCTCCGCTAGCCTAGCTCATCCTTAGTCTCTGCAGGAGGCTCCAAGAGGAGTCCTTTCCTGCAGCCCCTGCCCGGTCCTCTGCCTTGCCGGTCCTCTGCCTTGCCTGCCCTCTGACCAATAGCCTTCCTCTCTGGCGTGGGTTCCTCTCTGTGAAGACTCAGCATCTTTTACGTTTGTTGTTGCAGGGAGAGGCTGGGGCAGAGGGAGCCCACCTAGGATCTGAGCTCTTCTTACTCTGCGTTCCCTTTTTCCTTTTTTCTATGTAGCCCAGGCTGGCCTCAAACTGGGTTTACCTTTTCTTTTCTTTCCTTTTTCTTTCTTGAGACAAGATCCTACTGTGTAGCCCTAGCTGGCTTGGAACTCACTTTGTAGACCAAGCTGGCCTTGAACTCATGGTGATCCACCTGCCTCTGACTCATGTGCCGGGTGCTGGGATTAAAGGCATGTGCCATTCCCCTTGGCCATGCTTTCACTTTCTGAGTGCCGGGATTACAGGCATGTGGCACATCTCCTGCCTTCCCCTTACTCTGACTTTCATTTGTGTCCTGTTGGGGGAGTTCCTGACCTGTTCTGTCCTTTGGAGCCTCAATCCAGACCCATTGATTCCCTGGTATCCCTTTCTTATTTGCATGGCATCCAAGGGCAGAGACACGATCCTCAGACACTTACGCCCACAAGCCAGGCCACAGCACGCATACGCCAGGTCTCAAGATGGTGTGTCTGGACCCCATGGATGGCAAAGATGCTGTAGTGATGAAGAGTGTGGGTGTTGTGGCCAGGCAGCTACGGTTCTGGCTCTTTTCACAAGCCAGGCCACAGCACGCATACGCCAGGTCTCAAGATGGCGTGTCTGGACCCCATGGATGGCAAAGATGCTGTAGTGATGAAGAGTGTGGGTGTTGTGGCCAGGCAGCTACAGTTCTGGCTCTTTTCTGACCTTGGAGAGTTAAAATCAGGCGTCTTCGTCAGAAAAACAGAGAAATAGTGCTCTGACTCGCTATCACATACAGTGTCCTGCTTACATGCCAGAAGAGGGCACCAGATCTCATTACAGATGGTTGTGAGCCACCTTGTGGTTGCAGGGAATTGAACTCAGGACCCCTGGAAGAGCAGCCAGTGCTCTTAACCTCGGAGCCACCTCTCCAGCCCTGACTTGCTATCACAATACACATGTTTAAAGGAGCCGAGTGTGACGAGTGTGCCGTGTGTTGAAGTGTGCCATGTGTCCACATTGCTGTTGCCAATGACGTCATCAGCACGAGTACCCGGCTGGATTTCCTGAAACCTCAGGCTGCACTCACGGAGGGCTGGGTCTGTGTGGTGCATGAACACTCACCAGGAAAGCCAGGCCTCGCAGACCTCAGATGTCCTCTCTGTGCTCCTAACTCGTTTGCAGACCTGCTGCACCCCTTCACCCCCCACCACCCCTCCCTGGCCTGCCCCGCAGCTGTGTGGGGGCTGGGTTCAGCCCCTGGGGTACTCAGCGGGGCCTCTGTGGAGACAGCTCTAAGAAAGCATTAGCCTGCCCTCCTGACAGCATCTCATTACCCTTCCCCATCTCCTGCAATTAACACCCATGGTGTTTAGACCCCCTGGGCTTGGGAGGTGAGGGTAGGGGCTCCTTAGGTCCCACCGGCACACAGTTGGGGGGCCCGCAGAGACAACAGCCTGCTTGGGGAGCTCTGGCTCAGATTTGGAAAGAGACAGGGCCCCATTTTCTCTGGTATATGTGGGAATGATGGGCTCTCCAACAGGCAACTGAGGCATGATGGGTAGAGGCTGGAGGACTGGGGGTAGTTCCCTTTATTAACACTCATAAAGCCACAGTCACTGAAGGAAGTTATTGGGGGACCACAGAGGTGAGGGGCATGAGGCTTGAAGAGATGGGAGCAGGGCCCACCACTCACTTCCAGGACTCACAGGGCACCACTGGTCCAAGAGGCAGAGACACTGGTCACTGGAGTCACAAGGGTCAGCACAGGCACCTGAGAGGAGGAGGAAGGCCACAGGCACCGCACCAGCCACGGCAGCCGAGAGGAGTCATTCGGAAGCTCCACTTGGAACCCCCTTTGCGCCCACCCTTCGGTTCCCCAGAACTCACTGAAAGACCGAGGGAGTGTTCGTTTGTCGAGAGGCAGTCATCATGGGCTAGGGCTGGGGGTCACAGCCGGTGTAGAGGGTCTGGGAGCTCCTGGACTGATACCCTGGCTGGCGTAGTACTCCACCACCTGCCGTGGCACCTCCGCCAGGACACACTTGGCTAGTGCAGAGGGGGCAGCCTGGGGAGGGAAGGAGATTGGTTAGGGGTAGGAGAACGGGGTGGGGGTGGGGCAAACGAGCGACCGGTGGGGCTCTGGTGGGGCTCGCTGGATTCTAGTGATCTTCGAAGGACATCAGGAAGATGAGAAAGATTTGGGGGGCATGAATCGTTGAGGAGCCCTTTCCCTGGGAGAGAGGACCAAATACTCACATCCTTGAAGTCCCTGAAGGGCACAAACTGGACGATGTCACGGGCTGCAGGAACCCCTTTTGGGCAACGCAGGGGACCATCATCTCCATCCAGTAGCCTCATGTCAGAGAAGTCAGCGTTGCCCACACCCACGATAATGATGGACATGGGCAGGCGGGAGGCTCGTACGATGGCTGCTCGGGTCTCAGCCATGTCACTCACCACACCATCAGTGAGTACCAGCAGTACCGAGTACTTCTGAGGGCAAGCAGAGGGAGAACATGGGTCGATTCTGTATGAAAGGGTGCTGACACTCTTTCCAAACCCAGGTCCTGACCCTGGCACCATCAGAGGACACCCAGGGCAGCACCTGGTTGTCTGTTTTGCTTCCTCACCGTGGCTTGGCCAGTGCTCTGTTCCCGCTGGGCTGGCTCGGCCACACGGTTGATGATGGGGGCCACATTGGTAGGGCCATAGAGCTGGATCTGAGGCAAGCAACGGCGGTAGGAGGCTATGACCCCCGAGATCTCTGCAGGCAAAGAAAAGAGAGGGAGCTGGTGGAAGTCAGCAGGGCACGCTCCAGACACAGCAGCATGGTCATTTCTGTTTTAGGCCTGATGGCTCCTTGCTCCTCAATAAGCAGAGAGAGTCAGATGGCCCTGGGGTTGGGAGAAGTAAGTGGGCACAATGCTGGGTCATAAGACTTGGGCTCTTCCCAAGGGAAGACAGGCCTTGGATGGGAGGAAGGGATGGGTCAGGGAGCTGAGTGCATGGGAGTGGAGTCTGAGGTTTTGATATTACAGGCGTCCACGGTGGTTCAGGTTGGTGGGAACCCAAGCTTACCTTCACATTCAGGATTTTCTGGGTCGAAGTTGATGGCAAAGTCATGGGACACCTGTAAGCGAGGCGAGGCTGTGAAGGGTATCTCTTTTTTGTCCTCCCCCCTACTCCCCCCCCCCGACATCTTCCTGACTCTTGTTACCCAGCCTACCTCAAAGTTTGGGGGGATTCGAGCTCCGAAGCCAAAAGCTGGAAACCGCTTATCACTGGAGAGAGGAAAAAGCTGTGGAGCTCCTGGGCAAGGCCCCCCTCCCTGCCCCACGCCCTGCCCCCTACCTGTCATAGTCCTGGCAGATGCCTCCCACTGTGCGCAGGGCCTGCAGGTAGTGATTGGGCTGTCGGGGGCTGAGGCAGTGCAGGGATTGGCTGCTCCTTGGGTCCCCATTGGAGGCAGTGAAGTCGATGGCCACCTGGGTGAAGGTGGGAAGGGGTCATGCTGCAGCCGTGAGAACCAACAGACAGGCTAGGCCAGAATTAGAATATGTTAAAAGGACCAAGGTGGATCTAGGGGAGCCCTTAGGTAGCCTCATAGTTGAGTAGGGTGTTGGATTCAAGGTACACGAGATGCCCATTTAAGGGCAGTGGGACTCTGGCTTCCTTCAGTTAGCATGGATTTTAGCCTCTCCCTCTTTCTTATGCCATCTCTCCGACAGGGGTGGGGTGGGGGCGTGATATGGGGGAGGGCTTTACCGTGAAGCTGATCTGGCAGCCGCCCATGATGTAATCCAGGAAGGTATGCACTTTTTCCACCTGGGAGAGGGGCAGGGGTAATGAGGTAGGGAGATGGTCCTTTCAGGTGGAGGAGGCTTTGGCAAGGCTCCATGGAAAAAGTGGGGGTAGGGGGGAGACTAGAGTTTTAAAGGTTGCAGCTGAGAATGGGATGGAACAAGGGTTCACAGTTCCCAGAGCAAGTCTTTAAAGCAAGGGAAGGACGGACAGACAGACAGACACACACATACCAAATAAATAAATAAATAAACAAACAAACAAACAAACAAATAAATAACAGAGAAACAGCTGGAGAGGATGGCTTGGTGGGTAAGGGTACTTGTTGCCAAGCCTGAAGACCTGGGTCTGATCCCTAGGACCCATATGGTAGAAGGAAAGAACTGATTCCCAAAGTTGTCCGTTGACCTCCACATGTATTCTACGGCACTGATGCGTCCACACAAGCAATCCCCCCCCAATAAATAAATATACATTTTTTAAAATTAAAAAGCAAGGAAGGGCATGGATCTGAGACTGTGGTAGGGCAGGGGCAGAGGACGCTTGAGTTGTGAACTGTGACTTACCGTGCACTGGGCCAGCACGACCGTCCCTGAGCTCTTGTAATTCTTCTTCTTGTCCCGGTATTTGGGGTTGATACAGTCCCACTGCATCTAGACCCACCCCACAACACAAAGAAGTCCATCAAGTAGACCTTCTTGCCTCTTCCCACCGACGGATGCTTCCAGGGTAAGACCCTCATGACCCTGTCCTTCTGCCAAGCCTGGGCATTTTCCGCCCTCTTTGTCTCCTAGAGTGATGTTCAATGACCAACCACCCCCCGTCAGGATTTCCCCAGGGGTTCTGGGGTCTTCGGCACCTCCTGCCCAGGTTTTGCTGTCCCGTCCTGCATTTCCTGGAACGTGCTGGTGAACTCGCCGATGAAGTCATGCTTCCCACTGGAGTCAAAGTCATATACCAGGAACTGAAGGGAGATGGGAGGGGTGGGGCCAGGGTTAGGGACGTTCTGTAGTGGCTCCAAAGGTGTCTGACTTAGGGTGGTGGGGACTTCACAGTGTCTAGGCCCAAACACAAGTCCTTAACCTACCCAGAATCCACCTGCTAAACATCACTCTTTAGCTCAGTCTCTAGCAGGAAGTTTGGCCTCAGATAAAGGCTCCTCCGTGGGAACTTAACACTGAGCTGTGAGCTGTTATTTATCCCACAGAGATGTGTGCTTGTCACATGAGGGAGAGGAAAGAGGCTTACAGTATCCTGGGGAAGGTCTCAGACAGCAGACTGGCTGCTCCCTTATTTCCCTGGGGCTTTACCTTGAGAGGCCGGTGGATGTCACAGCTGCACAGAGAGTGTAAGGACAGGCGGAAGGGCTCCCAGCTGGGGTTCAGGTTGTTTTTCACCACCTTGGAGAGGCAGGGGGGACCTTGTCACTTCCTGTCTGCGTTTCTTTACTAAAATCTGCCTACTGTCATCCCGTAGCCCTGTGTACCGACCTCCGTTCTCCAGACCAACTGGTCGCTCTGGTCTCCATTGGTCTTATAGATCTCCATGAAAGGGTCAGACTTGCTGAACAGATCCTGGAGAGGCAGGGGAAGGGCTCATGAGTCTGGTGAACTCTGTGAGGAGGACGGGGAGGGGGTAACACTGGGAAGAGAATTGGCCTGGGACCCTGGAGTCTGTCTGTGGTGGGATGCCTGTGGCTCTCTAACGGGGCACGGATGCCTGGACTCTGAGGTTCCAACCTTGTTGTCCAGCTTATGGGCTCTGAAGGTAAGCTGCACGTAGTCGTTGGTACCCGATACCTCCTCAGCTACAATCTGTAAGAGAGGACACAGTGTTAAGAATCTTCTCCCCACCAGAAGGGCTGCCATATAGGCTTCCCATCAATGAAGGTGGTCATCAGCACAGTGTCTCGGTGGGTGTCCGCATGGGGACATGGGCCCAACGGTGGGGACCGTGCCTTGGCCTACCGTGATTGTAGACTTGCCCGCAGTCTTCCCATTCTTCAGCAGTAATGGTTTAGTGACCTTGGTTTGGGATACAATCTAAAGACAGAGGTGGAGGGAGTCTGGCTGTAATGAATACATCTGCCCTGGCCAAGGGTGCGAGGGCGGGAGATAAATGCCCACAGAGTATCCATAAGGTTGGCCCTTTGATTGGGCGAGGGTGGATTCAATTTCTACAGCAGCCTAGGAGAGAGGTGCTGGGAGGGGGGAAGTGTAGCTCAGTGGTTCAATCCCCAGCACCAAATGCAACAACAACAGTAACAATAACAGAAGGAGCACTATAAGAATAACCTGCCCCTCACTTGAGATGAGAAAAGTGGGTTAAGTGTCTTGTCCCAGGGTGCACATCCCATGGATGGTGGGGAGGGCCCCGGACTCAGAACTAGCTTCAGGGCTCTTTTCTCTTAGTTCGGCTTCTGGAGGCAGAAGCTGATGGTGACATAGAGAATGTAGAGACTGGAATGCAGACCTGGCCCAAGGTACACTCTGTAGAGCCGAGGAAGGTGTCACTGCTGGGGCTGGTGGCTCCGTCCTCAGCATCGAACACGTGAAATTGCAAAGGCTGCTTCTCTTCAAAAAAGTACTCAACGGCCAGCACCCGGGAGAAGACGGGGTTTGAACAGGAGCGAAGCACCTCCGTGCGCTCCACCTGCAGCAGGAGGGACAGGACCCTCTGGGACCCAAGGCTCCCTGGCCCTGCCCTGCACCTTCCCTGTCACGTGGGCTCTCCTTGGGTTCTTTTGTCCCCATCAACTAGCTCCTTTCTTTCTTAGCTGACTTTTGAATTTGGGGTACTGCTGGACCACTAGACTTCAGCCCTCTGGGGCTCTGCAAGCCTCTGACTAAAACAGTTTGGGTTTAATAATGATGGCATGCTTACGTTCAAGGTTATCCACATGGCTAGAGACGGTCCTTTGGAATCCTCACACACCCCCACGAGGCTTCCAGTGCCCACTCACCCTCCTTCTTTCTTGGGTTTAGCAAAGGTTAGTAGAGGGGAACCCCCACCAAGCTGCGCTCACCTCCACCCACTGCTCATCAGAGCAGACCTTGAGCAGCACACAGGGATGCGGCTTTGTGAGCGTGTCTCGGTCCAGGAGGCCATGGCAGGATACCCGCAGCTCCACTCGAGAGGCCCCCAGGGTCATGGCTGGGGGCTCGGGCACCCATCCCATCTCAGGGTCCGACATGGCACTGTGGGGACAGAACAGACAGCCTGGACAAGGAGAGGAGGAGTTTGTCTCTTGGGGGTCCTGGACCTACCCGTTGCTCTTCTTCCTGAGGTCCTGGGGTCCCCAGGGCAGCCCACCCCACCCCCCTGCCCTCCGTTTGACTTCCCTGAAGCTCTGAGCAGCAAAGATCAGGAGTCCAGAGCCCCGTGGCTTCTGTCACCCTGCCAGCCTAAGAGTCATGGATGGGGCTGGAAGAGGCTGGAGGGTTGGGATAGAAGTGGGTTCCTGGCAGTCTTGGCTCCCAGGCCATCGATTGATTTATGCCTACTGCTGTCTCAGCACCTTCTGCTGTTTCCCGACTGGTGTACGAGGCAGGGCTCTACTCAGTCTTGGCACTAGAGAACTGAAGTGGGGCAAGGGGGTGGGGCGGAGGGCGGAGAGGGCCCTGGAGGTCTGAAGAGGGTGTGGGCCTCAGGGAAGAAGTCTGCAGTGGACCGGAGGAGACAGGTTGGCAGTGGGAGGCACTGTGCCAAACTGGCCTCATCGTCTTAGTGTCCCCCACTTACTGTATGGTTGGGTGATGGGGAAGGAGGGGTGGTGGGCTTGGGGAGCGAGAGTCAGGACGAGGGCTCTGTGCTGAGCTCCCCAGGAGCCTGACAAGCCTGCAGCCCTCCCCACCTCCCCTGCTCTCACACTTCTTGGCAACACAGGCACTGTCTCTTAGCGACAGGGTTTTGGGGGAGCCATGGCCCCCACCATGCTGCCCGTGGGATGCATGCGCATCGCCCTCCCCCAGCAGAGTCACCAAGCCTCAGGCAGCAGCAGACAGGGGTACGCTGGCCCCAGTTCATGGCTGGTCAGCCCATCTATCTGTGCCTGTCCCGATCTCAGGGTGAAGCTCTCTGATCCATGCCATGCTTCCTGAGTGAGTGTCCACCGGTGTGCCTGAGTGCCCCACCTTCTGTCTGTCCCCCTCTGTCCTGTGTCCATCTCCAGGAGGGTGTGACAGTCTCATGTCTCTGTCAGAACCGGGACCATTCCCTGGCTGGATACCAGCCTCCCGATGATATATCTTTTTAGATATGGGAGGGAGGGTCTGGGCTTGGGGTTCTCTCTGCCTTCCAGCCACAAGTCTCTCAGTTAATGTGGATGCCTTGAGGTAGGCAGGGGCATGTGGTGGAGAGGGGATCAGGTAGGGCTTGGCTGGTGACTTCTCTAAGAGCTGGAGGAGATGAGAGCTATGGAGACTGGGCCAGGGAAGGCAGGACTCAGGCTGGATTAGGGAGGAAGGGTGGGCTCACCTGGGCTCTTAGTCGAGGGTCTCCTCTCTCCAGCTCTCCGGCCCTGCCCCGGACTTCCTCGCTGCTCCAGCCGCTGGCGCCAGCTCCGGCTCCGGCTCTGCTGCTATTTATGGGGCCAGGATGGGGAGGAGGGGGGCCGCAGCACCAGCTCCCCCCCCTGCACAGACTGATTGGGAGGGAGAAAAGGGGAGGGGCAGGGACACTGGCTGGGAGGGAGCCACAGAACTAGGGGAGGAGGGCGGGCTGGGGGCAGGCCTGAAGCAGGACCCCTACAGACACAGTGACACATATCTCCTTCACATCACACCCACACCCAGCATCACAGAGACACACACATTGCAGTGGTACATGCACACACACACATCCACACAGAGGAAGGATGGCAACACATGCACCCACGACTCACAGGCTCACACATATCTTGACACGCACAGGCGCCAGTACATAAACTCACAGTGACACCATGACAGTTATAGCCCCAGCGATGCGCAGCGGGAAACACACTCTCTTAGCACTTTCAACAGTATTATACTTGTTAAGGATATTTGTAGCTACATATAAAAGAACACTGGGCTGTACTTGTGACATACACACAGACACCTACTCTCACTAACCTGGATACAACAGAATGTTGATATCCACACGCTCCTTAAAAAACCCACCATGTACCACGCTGAACCTCATGGAAATGACATCCCGTTCCTGAGTTACCCTTTCTTAGGGAAATACAGAATGTGCACATGATTGCATTACACAGACTTTCATTCTAGTCATACAGCTCTGGAGGGCAGGGCTGCATGCTGAGTGCATTTGCTGAAAGACTGACTCCCAAGGCATCTTCCTAGGGCCACAATGTACCCAATGTCCCCCCCCCCCCCCCCCGCCCCAGATTCAACCCTTATGGCTGCATCCTTGTGGGAGGGGCTGGACCAGGCACAAAGCTGAAGGAAACGGGAGTCATTCTCAGTGAGATCAGGGGAAGCAAGCAGTTTCTGGACTGCTACTAGCCATGTGGAGAGACATTTGGGCGTGGTGAGTGAGGAGTACTCCAACGCATTCACAGGGAAACTTCAATCTCTATCCTTTAAGCTGCTCATTTATTAAGGTAGAAACCATTTATGCACTACCTCCTGAGCGCTAGAGATTGCGACAAGCACTGAGGCTAGTCAGGTAGTTAAGACATAGCTCCTGCTCCCCAGGAGGCAGATGCACATGAAGCAGAGGGACCTCCAAGGAGAGGTTAAGACAATATGAAATGCAGTTAAGTATGACACACAAAATTATGCTAAGGTTGGCCGGGCGGTGGTGGCGAACACCTTTAATCCCAGCACTCGGGAGGCAGAGCCAGGCGGATCTCTGTGAGTTCGAGGCCAGCCTGGTCTCCAAAGCGAGTTACAGGAAAGGCGCAAAGCTACACAGAGAAACCCTGTCTCGAAAAACCAAAAAAAAAAAAATTATGCTAAGGTTGAAAGGAGGCATAAGGAGGGAAGGAAGGTTCAATCTGGATGAGTGGGGAAGGCATCCAGAAGGATGCTGGAGGAAGAGGCACAGAGGGAGTCCCTGAATTTCAAGATCGTGTTTGTTAGGACACACCAGAAGTGGTTCACATAAGTGTTGCATTTTCTTTTCATGACATAGAGACCTGTTCACTATAAGCTACGCTATTGTTGAGAGTTTTGATTATTAGAGTAACCACAGGTAGGGCTGGAGAGAGGTTCCACAGTTAAGAGCACTGGTTGCTCTTCCAAAGGACCTGGGTTCAGTTCCCAGCACCCACCCACACAGCAGCTCACAACCATGTGTAACTCCAGCCCTAGGGACTCCAGTGCCCTCTTTTCATCTCTGTGGACACGGCATGCACCCGGTGCACAAACACACACAGAGGCACAACACCCAGACACATAAAATAAAAACAAAGGATTTAAAAAAGTAGTATCTGGGGGCGGGGGCTGGAGTGATGGCTGGGTGGTTTAGAGCACTTGCTGCTTTTACAGGGAACCTGGGTTGGATTCCCAGCACTCACGTGGTGGCTTATAACCCTCTGTAACCTCAGTCCCAGGGGATCTGATGCCCTCTTTTAGCTTCCACAGGTGCCAGGTATGCATGCATACAGACATACATACATACATATATACATACATTCAGCCAAAACAGTCATACATATTAAAAAAAAAAAAAGAGTGTCTAAAGGAGGTCTGTCGATGGCTCAGCAGGAGAAGGCTACTGCCACTAAGCCTGAGGACCTGAGTTTGGTCCTGGGGACCCACACAGTAGAAGGAGAGAACTGACTCTCACAGACTGTCTTCCAACCGCCACATGAATGCTGTGACACAGGTGTGCTCACACGCATATACACAAAATAAAATATTGAAAAGGGTACCCACGGGATAACACGACATGTACTATGTCAGTGAACACAGGTGCACACACAGGTACACACACACACACACACACACACACACACACACACACACACACACAAGCTTCCCAGTCTCCCCCTGGTACGCTTTCCCAGGCCCTGATTCTGCACAGAACCCATGACTTGTCATTTCTTTGTCAGCTGCTCTGTAGTCCCCTCCTCCTGGTGGAGCCCCAGACCTGTGAGCTGCCCTTCACTGCCCCCAACTGTGGGCAACCCTGGGGGGGGCTTGTGAGAAGAGGGGAGGTGGGAGCGGTGGCTAGGTCGGATGGTGGAGACTAGAAACAGACGGTGATTTTTTTTTTTTTAATTTTATTCTATACAAGTGGGGAGAGAGCCCCTGGGCATAGAGGGGCAGAGATCTACCCTCCCCCATGGGAAGAGACAGCCTCTGCCCAAAGCTCTCTACAGAGGTGAGGCAAGGCAGGTGTGAGGGCCTCCCTGCTTCAGGTTGCTCCCTCCCTTCCAGTCCCCGCCCCTGCTCCCCTACATCTGCTCAGTGGTGCCGCCCTGTAGGGTGAGGGCTGGCAAGGGATGGGGGAGCAGGGGTGGACGGGGCCTGAGTCCTTATGAGGCACATGTCGAGGAAGGCTGGGGAGGGTGTTCCGCAGCTGTCAATCTGTTCCTGGTTCACTGGTTCCTGCTGGGGACAAATCCAGGGAACCCTGTTGCCTGGGCAAAGAGAGCCGGCCACCCAGTGCTGGGGCGTGAGGGGATGCCACGTCTGACCGAGCAGGGGGAAGGGGACCCGGTGTCTCACCACAGGCACCTGTAGGGTCAGGTGGCCGTCTTCGGTCAGGTTCCAGTTTGTCGCAGGACTGCGCCCGCCTTGTTCTCTTGGGTTTCAGGGGGGCTGTTCGACGGCCCAGGTCAGAGGGTCCTGAAAAGAGTCATAGCAAGCCTGGCACACGAGCGGGCCTCACAAGTTGGGTGCTCATCCAGGCTTCGACTCCTGGTTGTCACTTATCCCTGTTCCATGCCTTGGAAGGGGATCTGATGGGGGGACCAAAGCCCCAGGGTTCTCCCAAGCCCCCACTCAGGTAGGGTGGCAGACCTGGTACTTCCGGCTCCTCTTGGTCTTGTTGTGAGCCCAGTCTCAGCCGGGGCTTGTTGACTCCTGGGGCAGCACCGCCAGTCTCTGGCTCTTCTCTGCCTCCTGGCACCTGGGGGGCCCTGTGACCCCTGGGTACAGCCACTGGCTTAGGGGGACGTGGACCTATGGGGGGGTCCTGTAGCTGGCAGAGCAAGGAAGACGTTGGGTCAGTTAGTCTCTGACTCCTTCGGAGGACCCTCCCCACCCACCACTGGCCTTCACTGTGACATTGCTGGTCTTTTAGTGTCTTTACCCCTTTAAAATGCCCTCCCCACCCATCTTCCGTCCTTCACCTTGGCATTCCTAGCTGGGACCGCCCTCTCTGGGAATAAGGTTTCCTCCTTTTCTTCCTCTCCATCTTGGGAAGCTGGGCTAGGGCTCTGGCAGCTGTGGTTGGGGGCACTCTCCTCAGCTGGGGAAGGGAAGACAGGAGAAGCTACCGAAAAGGCATCTGTCCAGAGCCCTCCTATTACCCTTCCCATGATGCCCTGCAAGGCCAGGACTTTACCCCCATCCAAGCTCATTTGCTCCAGCCTCTCTGCTTTCCATGTCTTCTTTGATTCTCACAGGTCCTAGCCACCGGTTCCCAGGACTGCCCTGAGGTCATTATCTGGGGCCAGCAGGGCTCAGGCCTTTGCCCACCGGAGCAGAGTCAGAATAAAAGACCTCCTGGGTCCCCAGGCACAGCAGCCTATTCAGGGCCGCAGTGGCCTAGGGGCCTGCCAAGGCTGCAGCCTGGCACTTTCAGCATTGTCTGCAAGTCTGATTTAGACAGTGGGAGCCTTGAGGAGAGATGCCCTCTCATGCTCGCCTGTGACTTTAAGCCACATGAGCACGGAAGTGGAATGCCTGTCAGATGCTGTGTTTGTCTCTCATCATTGAGCAACACAGCACCTGGCTACCGTGGGTTACTAAATGAAGGACGAAGCCCTGCTCTGGATGCTTCATCCGGTCTGCGACAGAGATGGAGAATGACTGAAGCTGCCCCCAACCCTGGGCAGAGGATGGGGTAGGCATACGGGTACTGACGAGGCTCATGGCGGCAGCGCCACAGGAGGAGGGGAGGGACAGACAGGAACAGGATGGGACAATGAGGAGCAGGTCGCCCTCAA